GGGCGAATGCACTGACCAATTATGCTACCGCGGCCCTGACCGCCCTGTCGAAATTCTCCTAGCCATTCTTAAGCTGCAAGGCAGCGCCATTTCTTCGCATTACAGGTAACCCACAGGGCCGTCAGGGCCGCGGTAGCATAATTGGTCAGTGCATTCGCCCGGATTGCGAAGGGTGCGGGTTAGATTTAAACATCAAGCAGTTACATGCTTAAAAAATAAAAAAAATAACTTTAGATGTTCAAATCTAGAGAAAAAACGTCAGTGCATCTGCCCGGATAGCGGAGGGTGCAGGTTAGATTATATTTTTCTAGTGAAAATCTTCTTTACATTTAAACATCTAGCAGTTAAATGCTTTAAAAATGTAACTGAAATGAAATTGTTTGTCCCAATTCCAAACTCTAAACTTACGGCTTAAGGGGTTACCTTTAGCCGTACCGAAGTTGACCGTGTCACCTTGTTATACCAATTAGTTAGTGCAGTTGTGAGCAAAGCTGGGATAGTCGAAACCACAGAACACAGAAAGATGTTAGAAGGGCCTTGTGGGCGGAGCAGGCGCGGCACAATTTTGTGTAAGCAAATGTTCATAACTTGACTAAAACTTGGTTAAATAAAACAAGTTTCAACGAGTTAGATGCACTGATTTGATTTATTTATTGGCGTTTTATGACAAAAAATCATTATACAGACAACGCATCCCGCAAAGAATGCGAAACGACAATAAATAAATAAAATTAATGCATTTAACCCGTTGAAACTTGTTGAGTGACGTGCGTGAAAACCTAAGAAACAAATGTAAAACTTAGTTCTGATTGCGTCGTTGCTCCCGGTTGTGAGCGCTGATTGGTTCATTGTTTGATGTCGCGTCGTTTGATTGGCTATTATCTATTAGGTGGAAGTTTCATGGGGACGAGCCAGCAATATCGGTTTCCGTAAAAATGGTCTACGATCACCCTTCTAAGCTTTCTGTGTTCTGTGGTTGATGAACTGGCGCTGAACTTTCGCTGTATACGGTTGCATAGACGCAGGTGACAATTATGGGTACCTACTAACTAGTACCTAGAGATACAGCTGTTAGATATCGGTATGTAATTTAAGTGTAATAAGTAATGTTAAAGAAAATTATTAAGGTGCGATTTCGAATCGCGTCTGCTGCCTGGACCGCGTGTATATTTTTCTAGCAAAATTTTCTTTTGATTTACTAAAAAAAAGAAAAATATTTAGATCTTCAAGGGTATTTAATTTGTATGTAGATCCTTTGTATTATGCATTTGTTCATTTTGTCAACATTTCTTTGGATATTTTACTACAGAGACCCAAGCTCAATTGTTTACAGTAACTTTTTTAAAATTTGTATGGAAGGAACTAGTTTGTTCTTACGTCCGGTAGGGACGCTACCCGCTTAGTTTCCATAGTAATTTTGACGATGCGATACGGTTACGGAGCTGTCAAATTTCTTGCCTACCTTTGATATTTATCATGGCAGTTGTGCTTTTAATTAATTTAGGTTCGAACGAAACTTTCAAGATTGAAATCTGTATGCTGTTGTTGGCTGGCATTAACATGTATTGTTTTGAACTTTCATGGTCACTAACATTATAGATATTAACGGAATTGTTACCATGTACCTTGTTTTTAATGAGTCTCCGATATTTCGGCATTGTTATAAGCGCCATGATCATGATCTGTTAGTCAGTTCAGTTCAGTCAGTTACTCTGTGATCATGTTTTTTTTAGTGTGTATGCTGTTGGTCGCAGATGACCTTTACAGCGTCACCGGGTTTGGGGACGGCGAGATCCTAAGGGGGCCTCAAGCCGAGAATTGGCGAGTGCCTCTAGAGGTATTCCAGGCGGATGGCGTCACCCCACGGGAGGAATCTCCTCTCCGTCTGGAGCCTCTAGACCACTCGAACCTGAGGGGGTAGATCATGGCGCTTGCAACAGTGCTGAAATATCGGAGACTCATAAAAACAAGGTACATGGTAACAATGACCTTAATAGCTATAAAATTAACAAGTTAGGTTGGAATATAGAAAGAACCATACCATTAAACAAACAAAACATAAACTCTGATAACAATACACTCCTTTTTACGAACAGTCGTGTAAGTGCTCGAATCTTTGAACACAGACGTCGAAATTGGGTCAACTGATTACCATAACGCAATTACTCGATCGCGACTACAACGATTTGGTGTATGTATGTAAATTGTCCTCTAATTCCGCAGAACTACGTTAACACATGGATGCCGACTGTTAATTAGAATTTCACGAAATCGTTATTTAGCTTATTGGACTGAATTTTCCTGTGAGATAACTACGTAACAAGTTTGTACACTTTCTTGTTTGAGATTTTGTGATTAATTAGTCTTTCATATTACAGTACCGCAATGAATGCAATTCATTCAACTTTATATAATCATCATTGTCATCAGCTTATTAATGTCCCCACTACTGGGGCACAGGCAATGGATGGAATAGGGAGATTGGGCCATGACCCACCATGCGGTGCGAAACAGTGGGTGCTAACTACTGCAGATGCAGCCGGGACCAACGGCTTAACGTACCTTCCGAAGCACGGAGGAGCTCGAGAGAGTAAATTTTTAGTCACCCATCCAATGACAGACCACTGCGAAAGTTGCTTAACTTCAACAATCGCAGCCGAACGCGCTAACCGCGTGCGCGATCGAACTCCTCTTTGTATCATAGTTCAGCAAGAAGCATTTCTGAAGGCTGGCAATGTGAGGATGGTTGGTGTGGCAGTTTACAACTGACTGTTGCACCACCTAACTTCGCTTCTGGACATTACCACTAACTCTAACCTAACCTTACCTAACCTAACATCAGATGGGGTATTAAACTTATATAACCTTGGAATGGCTAGAATAAGGAAATTACTGAATTCAGCCAAATCCAAGGTTCATGATTAATAAATAAAATAACATATTATTTATCATAATATAGTTCACTATTCAAATGATGATTGAGTATAAATCTAAAGTGCTTTAATTTCTCAACCGAACACACTTTCAATCGACGTTCTTTAGAATACTGATTGGAGCTTTCCGACGGGCGGAATGAGGAAATATCGACAATCTGCTTTGTACACTTTCCATTTCCTTTTAAATGTGGAAATTGTGGAAACTATATTGGATGTTGTGAATAGGGTTACCAACTAAAACTGATACCCCTAAAAATATAGTAGATGGGGAAAAACTGGAAAAAACGGTTGTCTGTAAAGTTGGTTTACTGACGATAGTTGAACGTGACAACGTTTTTTACAATGTGCATAGTTTTCACAAGTATGAATGTGCACTTTTCACTGCACTTCATACTTGACGAAAACATGTAAATTTATTATTATATAGCAGCTGTCCACGCGGACGCATCGCTCGCTCAAGTAGGAGAGAGACAGATGTTGAACGCTGCCGAACGCGGAGGCCGATTGTGCCTCTTTGTCGCTCGTTGCGCGCTCTTGCTTGCACTTCAAGCCTTAAATGAAACGCCTCAGAGCGAGGTAACGCCGCATGAGTGTTGTTTTTTCGTGCGTGCAGCCGGCTCCATCGAATTATAAGATGCCCATAGTCTGCTTTAAGCAAAATACAGTAGTTTCGCCCACTATATATTATTTTTTAGAAATATAGTACTTGATCCCTTTATAAAGTAGGTTACTATATTATATAGAAGGATTTGAAACCCTAGTTGTGAACTAGGTGTGCACAGTAAGTGGTATCGACGAAGCTATAACATTCACGTGGGACTATATCTAATGTCGTTTCAGCTTGTGGTCGTTTGTATTGGAAATGTTGTGGTACCTTTTATGAAAACTGTATATTGCAAAGTGTGTTTATGAATGCTATTTCTTTATTCAATTAACTATTTTGTAATGACGACCTCCGTGGTCGAGTGGTTTGTACGCCGGGTTGCATGGTGTCGCCTACTAGAGGGAATTCGAACCTGGGACAGGTTCGAATCCCGGTGGGGGCAGATGTTTGTGTGATGAATACGAGCATTTGTACTCCGGTCATGGATATTTAATATGTATTTCTATATATATAGACTTATATAAGTACTTTATATGTATTCTATCCGTTACCCTAGTATCCCATAACACAAGCCTTACAGTGCTTACTTTGGGACGAGGCTAATTGGTGTGATAAAAAAAAGTATAGCAACACGTGTGTAGTATTTCTAGTACTTTTAAGTATTTTTATATTTGTTTTAAAGTCTATTTCTGTGATGTCATATCGGTCTTTGTTTTTCAGGAATTTTAGTTGATGAAGTAAATAATAGTGTAGCTAACACATCTGCGATTTGCCTTTTTTGTATCTTTATCAATATACATTTATATCTGCTGTGTGTTTTATTATAAGTTCTCGATTCATCAAATCGGTAGCAAACTTCTATATATACAAAAACTGAAGGGAAAATTCTTCGACTACATTTATTTTACAACTGTATCTCACATTTTACTATCCAATCAACTTGGTTGAAGTTTTATAAAAATAACTGAGTTTGCTACTCTGACTATTGTTATTGCAGTTTTGTGGTCATTGGATCCGTCCTTAGTAGCTTGCTCGCGGTCGCTCCAACCGAATGCTACCTGGACAGCAGGGAGCGGCAATCTCTGGAGAACTATTACAAAGATCCGTAAAATTCAATGAGCAATTATTGTACGATTCTTTAAAGGTTTTATTACCTTTTTTTTTACCTAGAATTTTAGTTTAGAATTTGGAATTCTAGTTTTGTTTCGCTGAAATCTAATACTTTATTATTACAGTCATTTGTTAATTATTTCGATTGAAGATCATGACGGAGTAGCAAGATTAAAAAATCGCGTGAAGCAAATCACTATGTGGTAACATTATATCGGCAACAGTTTAAGAGAAGATAAAGAACTTGTGAGTAAACAACCATTTTCCTAAAATACATTTTACAGTTTCATCAATAGAAAATATAAATATTTAAAGAGTGAGGTAATTTCTATATAATAAATTAAATCATGTCGGCTTTAAAAGTGTTTATAAGAATAAATGCAGCATAATAATACAAGGAATAGTCTTCTGCGTAGAAAATATTCAAAATTTCCAAATAATAGGTATTCAAAATTCATAATACGGGTTGGTGATTGACCCAGAACACTGAAATAAGATATCACATGATATTATAATAATCGGAATAATTTAATATAAAAACAGCGTCATTCATAAGAATTACCCGAAGAAGGTAATGAAGATCTATCGAATTTAGGAGTTTACGGCCTTACTACAAAAAAGTAAGACACGTCTTAGGCACATTTTGTATGACATCTTTTCTTAAGCTCGTGTTGGTAATTTTGTTAAATTTTTGTTTCATTCATTCATTCATTTAAATCAAGTTCAATATTATAGCCCAATTCTTGCAAATAGGTATACAATAAAAAATCAAAATAAATTATTTTAATGATAAAAAAAAAACTGCTTACCTGGTGGCTGCACTGGATTTTTCCATCGATTATTTCAATGTCTGTAAACCACACATTTTTAATATCATAATGTCGTGTTACTATTGTTTAAATTTATACGTGTGATATTGTTTTATTTTATTAGCTCAGTAAAGTTTTGGAGTCGCCGGCGGCATTGATTTTGTTGTTTATTTGATTGAGTGACATTTGACCGATAAAAATAAATCCAGGAAATTGAAAATCCCAGCTTCGAATTGTTTCACGAATAACCCGGAATGTTAGCTTTTGATTCCGAATGTTTGAGTGTTAATCAATGTCACAAGAGATGAATAGTTTTCACTTGCGGGCTCCCCACCACTTCGTCTACCTTGATTTGATTGGTTCCCGATACAAAAGTATGTTTCCCGCTGTCGCCCCCTCAAACCATCAATTTTGGGATAAAACTATCCGATGTTTATGCTGCTTCCGGCCTCATACATCGCGGCAAAAATTTCATACCCTATCATCATACTATCCACAAGCATGGGATTTTGTCGAAATTTTTTAGTACTTAAAACTAAACTGTGGAATATATTGTCGCCAGTCGTGTTTCCGGACTAATACCTGGACCTGAAAGTCCAAAACTTGGTCCTTTTTGGATTATTAGAAAACACGTGGCCAAAAGGTATTTAGTATATTTTTAGTACCGGCCCGTGGCCCTTTCATTTGATACCACCCACGATAAAAGGTCCCAGAAAAAAGAAATGAAATCCCACACAAAAAAATATGCCGTCATTCTCTTCAAATAAATCTCCACCTAATTTTTAAGATAAACCTCAAAACGATTGCTTTTACCTAAAGTACACCTGTGTACCGTACGACAATCCTGTACATGGATTTGCTTTTATTTTATTGTAGCTCGACCACTATTCATATGTAACTAAAGGGGCATTATGTTTAATTAATGAAATAATAACGGTATACTAACATTCTTCGCATTTTCTTGTCTCTTGATCGGTGTCATGGTGTCAGCGTAGACTTGCCAGAACCTGGTCACGTGCGACTTACTCAACGTCCTGTTCTCTTGCAAAGCACAGTTGAGGCACCAGCGATCCTCTCCTACGTTGACAACGAAACCTAAGGGTATGGAACCATAATTACTTAAAAAAAAGCGTGTGCGTCTCGGAACGCACGACAGAAGTGGTAACTTAAACTAATTTAAGCGGCGCTGTGAGTTAGAGTGAGAGCCGAGGAGCCTGCCTACCGCTACCGTATGCGTCATAGAAAGGGAAGCCAGACAGACTGGCGCCGTAACGCGTTATGTAACGTAGCGGTTTACCCACCCATAAGAATATATCACTTTAAAATGTGATGGTGGTGTGGTTTAATTAAATCACGATGCAAGTGAAACTTGACGACCTCCGTGGCCGAGTGGTCTGTACGCCGGGTTTCATGGTGTCGCCGACTCGAGAGGTCCCAGGTTTGAATACCGGTGGGGGCCGATGTTTGTGTGAAGATTACGAGCATTTGTACTCCAGTCATGGATGTTTAATATGCATTTCTTTAAAAATATACTTAAATATGTACTGTATAAGAATTCTATCCGTTACCCTAGTATCCCATAACACAAGCCTTACATTGCTTACTTGGAGCTAGGCTAATTGGAGTGATTAAAAAAAAGAGAGGTCGTAATAGACGATGTTCGTGGGAAATCAGCAGCTGCCGCTTTTTATGTTTTTCTACCGTTCTAGTCCTTAATGGGTGGTAATTTCCTGTAAGTGAAATACCTAAATTGCCTTTTTTTACTCCTATTCTTACCTTATTTTTTGTGCTAAGGCCGTATTCAGAGACTTGAAATAATTTTTGTTGTCTTTTTGAAGTCATGTGTTGTCATATTTTATTGGTGACACTACTACGGATCTAAAATCTCTTATCTATTAGACAAGTCCGTCCGTCCGTCCGTCCGTCCGTGGTGCTGTTTCAGCGGCCAAACCGTAAGAGATAGATAAAGAGAATTTAAGTTTAAGTTATAAGTTAAGAATAGTCTGATAAGACTACAAACCGGATTTGAGTAACGTAGCACTTCCGGTTTTCGAGAAATCACGTGATTTCTATTTCAAACGAAACCACACAAAATCTCCGAAGTTCTCAATTAATTAAATACATTTTTTTTTTGGTGAACATTTGGTTCACTGGTTTGCTAGTTTTTGCTATTGGTTGACGCAAAAAAACTCTAAACAATGCCGCATTACCCGTTAGCCCGTATCCGGGTGCTCGAAAAACATTACTCGAATTCGGGCACCCGAAGGAATATTTACACCGGAATACGGGCTGGGCATGGCTGTCCTTACCCGGGACACAAACTTTCTGGATACCAACTTTCATCTTAATGATTCAGTGGTTTAAGTGTTAAGAGTTAAACAACAGACAAACACACTTGTGCATTATAATATTAGTATGGATGACCAAGTACAAATATTACCAACTACTGCGGCGATTCTTAGCTTCTCTGCTAACTCCGCTTGCAGTTCGTTGTCATCTGTATTGACAGGGTAATGTGTCTGAAATTCAATTGAAATCTTATTTACAACTTTGAAACAATTGCAACATTATAAAATTTAAGCGAGGTAGGGCATAGTGGATTTTCCTCTCGAATTGGAGCGCCCGATTGGGGAAGTAACCTCCACCTTACAGATGATCACAGTAAAATTACAATACCTTTGGTGGTGAAGTGGTGGTGATGTTCTGTCAGTGATTAAGGTTTCAGAGCTCCACGGAGTAAAGGATTAGTTCAGAGTAGGCAATAGTGCAAGTGATATTTTTGGTATCGCGTTTTTAGAATAACGATACGCGATAACGATGCGCGATAACGCTGACATGTTTAGAAGTGCGCATCCGATGTAACTTGGTACCGTCATTGGATGCCGATGCCATCTAGTTTATGTCAACGTAACTATAGTTACAGTGTCACAAACTTATTTGTGCCGGCGGAGGTGTCGCTAGCGGTGAACAATTATATCATAGAAATGTCTAAATGCTGTGAATAAATTGTAGTTCCAATTTTTGTCACCGACACAGAAAAGTTTGTGGCACTATAGCTCGTTGGGTGCATAGCGTAGTGTCTCCTTAGGAAAAAAAGAGAAGTATACCGTGTTGCTAGAGCTAAAATTAATGAATTGAAGAAACATAACCACACAAAACACGCATCTGTCGTAATTCGTATCGCATCGCATCCTGTGACACTTCGACTAGCTAGACTGATATTCACTTGGCAACAATGCCAGCATCGATGCGCGCATCGGATATAATTTATCCGGTATCGATGCGCATCGATATCACAAATATCTAAAAACGCCCGCCTCTAGTATCACAAGCGTCTATAGAATATTTAATGAAATTGTAACTAATTATATAATAATATGGATTTGTTGACATGTATAATGTGATGACATGACGATTAATTGACATATTTAAATGTAATTGTAGTATTAACATGATTGACATTAATGTGGCTAATTACAATATTAATATTCATTGGATTTATTATAATTTGATATTTGCATGCTAATTTAGCGAACCTTGTTTGAGCATCATATTTATTGTGAAATCTATTTATTGTGCCATGTTTCTTGTAAATAATTAAATGAATATGAGTATGGTGGCCGCTTACCCTCAGGCGATCATAAGCCTATTTGGCATCCTTTTTACATAAAAAATCTAAAAGTAAAACTTCATGTCGTTTCTCTTGTACGGTTGTGGCAGGCAGAACATCCAAAGTGCGACACAGTTATATTTTGTGTAAACTCAGGGGGCCATTCGCCTAACGGCTTTGGAAAACGCTAACGCTTGGCCGAATGGCCCCCTGGTCTATACTGAAATACAGTTAATGTGTTTGTTCGCTTTCGACTTTGGTTGAATCTAAGTTATTTTCCCAATCTGAGCTCTTAGATATTTGAGACCAACACTTAATTATTACCCCTAGTTAACCCTTCCCATTGCATACTATGTTATATCAACATGTCAAAAATATAAAGTTTCTATCTTATCACCAAGAAGCTTTTCCCCGTTGTTATCGGTCGATGATATTAAATGCGTTATTTCGATATCTGTTTTTAGTACATAATGTATTAGCACGGAAATTACGAAGTTACATTGCTGAGATAGAAGTGTGGCGCATTATCGCAATAACGCGCCCGATATGAACGACCGATAAAATCGCGCCTGTGGGTTTGAGGCCGTAAACTACTTTTCTGTTCATACCATTCCATAAACAATAAAAACGTGTTTGTAAAAATAACAAACAGAGGAATAGAAAAAGAGCTTACATTACAAGAGCAGATTTAAAGTAACAGTCGGACCACTGGCTTAATATTATGTCCACGGGCACGGAAGCTTAATAAGCTCACTCATACACATTGGACTCGGAATCGCGTAAACTCTTTTAAATTTTGCGATTTTAAATTCGCTCTTGTTATACATGGAATAAAAAAAACTTAAATTAGCCGCTTAAAAACGTGTCTCACTGGGCAGGGAATTGGGTCAGGCAGAGTAGGCAACGGCGCGAGTAACTTTTTTTGTATCACAAGCGTCTATAGGCTGTGGTGACCGCTTACCATAAGACTGGCCATATGGATGAATGAATGAATGAAGGAATGAATGAATGAAGGAATGAATGAATGAATGAGTATTCTTTATTGCACTATTAAACAAAATACATGAAACATAAAACTCAGAAACACAAACACAAAAGGCGGCCTTATTGCTAAGGTAGCAATCTCTACCAGACAGCCTTTGGCTAAATGAAACCATACCTGTGGGTAACTGTGGGTTAGCGCATTTCAAAATAAATAAATAAAAGTTAATATTAGATTTTGAGGAAATATTCCTTAATTTTAATAGTATGCTTGTTTGTCGTCACCCTTTTATCAAAGATTTTTTTTTTCATATTCAAGTTAGTATTAGACGACCTCCGTATCCGAGTGGTTTGTACGCCGGGTTTCATGGTGTCGCCGACTCGAGAGGTCCCGGTATTGGAATACCGGTGGGGGCAGATGTTTGTGTAATGAATACGAGCATTTGTACTCCAGTCATGGATTTTTAATATGTATTTCTATATAAATATACTTATATATGTACAATATATGTATTCTATCCGTTACCCTAGCATCCCATAACACAAGCCTTACAGTGCTTACTTTGGGGCTAGGCTAATTGGTGTGGGTGTTGGTAATATTTAATTATTATTTTTAAGTATCATGTTACTGTACTCCTGGTCACTGATAACTCTCGCGAGTATTTGCAATTCTGACAATTAATTGATTGCGACAGCAGCACAGTCATTAAGCATGTATTGTTAGTGAGTATTGAACGAAGTAAATGATAGCATCTAAAAAAACGACTAAGTTATGATTAGTACTAGAAAACCAGTATCATATTAAGTATTGTGTTTATTGAAAAGATATAATAATAAAGGGGTTTATGCGTTCTGATAAATGTGTTAACAGTGTCAAAAATAACAATAACCTATGTTATAACAACCGAAATCATTATCATCATCAGCCCATTAATGCCCTCAAAGCTGGGGCATAGAGCTTACCTATGGATGGAATAGGGTCTTTGGGCCTTAACCCACCACGCGGGCCCAGTGCGGATTGGTGGGTGCTAACGACTGCACATGCAGCCGGGACCAACGGCTTAACGTGTCTCTCGAAGTACGGAGGAGCTCGAGATAGTAAAGTTTTGGTCACCCAACCAATGACTGACCACTGCAAAAATTGCTCAACTTCAACGATTGCAGCCAACGAATGCTAACCATTTGCTCCACCAAACTCTAACACCGAAATACATGCCTCGAAAACATAAAATGTCTGGAGCTTAGCGGAGACTAATTGGATCCTTTTACTTAAAGTATGCTTTACCGTTTAATGGCAGGCGGTACCCCAAACAAAGCACCTTCGCGGTAAAGTGGCTCTTTGTGCGTAAATCTTGCTTTGCCGAATACCGCTTGCTTGCTTCGCTCGCTCCAGATTTCAAATGCGAGCACAATTAGAGGTCACATATTTTTAAAATTTGCATAGAATACAAGTCGTGACACAGGGAATTCTATAGCGATCGTTACAGAAATAAAATTGTGTTACATTCACGAGAGATAAATAAATAAATATTTCCAACACTCACACCAATTAGCCTAGCCCCAAAGTAAGCACTATAAGGCTTGTGTTATGGGATACTAGGGTAACGGATAGAATACATATACTGTACATATATAAGTATATTTTTATAGAAATACATATTAAACATCCATGACTGGAGTACAAATGCACGTATTCATCACACAAACATCTGCCCCCACCGGGATTTGAACCCGGGACCTCTCGAATCGGCGACACCATGAAACCTGGCGTATATACCACTCGGCCACGGAGGTCGTCAAAATAAGAGATATAGTAAAAAACAGATTATGTTTCGTTTTGAACTCATCCTAACTGACCTTAGATTAAAACAAATCGAGAAGATAAGGCACTCGCGGCTCAAAGTGTACCGCATAAATTGTGGTGCATGACTACAATTTGCTTTAGTCACAATTGGATATCCAAACACGCTGCGTGTGCCAACGATATTAAATACCCTAGATACACTAACACGAACAAAATCGTGCCCGAAATCTGTCCCAAAGGTACATTGGATGATCCACGGAGCTGCGTAAGATGACCGCGTAGTCAAAAACAATATAAGGCATTATTTGAACATTGAAATTCACATTTAATGCGTACTGTTAATGGTCTTAATTAAAACGCTTGCGTCAAAGGGTAATGACAGTTCGAAATGCAAGCTCGTAAAATTTTACGACTGATTGCTTTATGCGGTAGAATATAGACCTTATTTCTTTGACTCTACGCGCAATTCTGAATGCGCTTATAGCAATATAGCAGGTACGGACCGCGAGAAAAAGATACGGCTATATTCCAACCATGCATTTGCATTGATAATTATTTTCTATATAGGTGTATGTACAAAATTTGCTTCAAATGCGTTATATTACCAAACATTGATTAGACAGTACATACTATAAGATTTTTTTCGCATTTTTCACAGAGCTCTGCGGCAACTTGACTTTTCAGCGGTCCGCGCGTGACTGTGAACCAAGAAGTTCTTGAGTAGTGTTCAAGCACTTCTTGATTGGGACACATTGTGTGCGCCCGTGATGTATCTAGGGTATTTAATATCGTTGGCATGTGCACTCAATATAACAATATTGCGTATATTTTGTGTCATAAAGATAGAACAATGCCTTCGATACTTTTATAAAGAATACAAATAATTCAAAATCAAGTAGCAAATTCTACGGCAACACTTTTCATTCGTAAAACTATAAAAATATTTTTTTCCCAAAGATCACGGTTTGTCATGAATGTTATTAACTTATTTGCCATTTGTTATCTAGAGAAGGACAACAATACAGCTCAGCCATTTGTAGAGAGGGAAAGGAAAATGCAGTCGGATGCCAAGCGACACGGTCTCGCCGTTTCGCTCGCGCTGCGTCGAAGCGTACAGTACCCCTAGCACGAACCATTATCGAATTCGAATAGTTTGCAAACCGAAATGTCAATGTTAAATTTTGTATGGAAACTTGAACAGCAGCGGCACAAAGTGCGTAACGAGAACTAAAAATCAGTACACATTTGACAATGACATTTCGGACTAGCAAACGATACGAATTCGATATTGGTTCGTGCTAGGGGTTCGTGCTTTTCTGTCTCGCTCGCTCGATTGAATGTTTATTTACAGACTGTGCGTGTGTGAGAGTTGCTTATGTAGTTGAGTTGGAGCATATTTTATTTGATGTTGCAATGAAGTTTAAGGAAAACATGACCAATATTAGGAGAAGATATTTCTCGTATTATCATAAATTTTATCAATATCGGTAGAATATAGACCTTATTTCTTTGACTCTACGCGCAATTCTGAATGCGCTTATAGCAATATAGCAGGTACGGACCGCGAGAAAAAGATACGGCTATATTCCAACCATGCATTTGCATTGATAATTATTTTCTATATAGGTGTATGTACAAAATTTGCTTCAAATGCGTTATATTACCAAACATTGATTAGACAGTACATACTATAAGATTTTTTTCGCATTTTTCACAGAGCTCTGCGGCAACTTGACTTTTCAGCGGTCCGCGCGTGACTGTGAACCAAGAAGTTCTTGAGTAGTGTTCAAGCACTTCTTGATTGGGACACATTGTGTGCGCCCGTGATGTATCTAGGGTATTTAATATCGTTGGCATGTGCACTCAATATAACAATATTGCGTATATTTTGTGTCATAAAGATAGAACAATGCCTTCGATACTTTTATAAAGAATACAAATAATTCAAAATCAAGTAGCAAATTCTACGGCAACACTTTTCATTCGTAAAACTATAAAAATATTTTTTTCCCAAAGATCACGGTTTGTCATGAATGTTATTAACTTATTTGCCATTTGTTATCTAGAGAAGGACAACAATACAGCTCAGCCATTTGTAGAGAGGGAAAGGAAAATGCAGTCGGATGCCAAGCGACACGGTCTCGCCGTTTCGCTCGCGCTGCGTCGAAGCGTACAGTACCCCTAGCACGAACCATTATCGAATTCGAATAGTTTGCAAACCGAAATGTCAATGTTAAATTTTGTATGGAAACTTGAACAGCAGCGGCACAAAGTGCGTAACGAGAACTAAAAATCAGTACACATTTGACAATGACATTTCGGACTAGCAAACGATACGAATTCGATATTGGTTCGTGCTAGGGGTTCGTGCTTTTCTGTCTCGCTCGCTCGATTGAATGTTTATTTACAGACTGTGCGTGTGTGAGAGTTGCTTATGTAGTTGAGTTGGAGCATATTTTATTTGATGTTGCAATGAAGTTTAAGGAAAACATGACCAATATTAGGAGAAGATATTTCTCGTATTATCATAAATTTTATCAATATCGCTGATGATAACGCTATGATATGCACAAAAACTTCTAAATCAAAAAGACTGTAAGTAAGTATTTTGCACTCGAATAAGTAAATAAAAATTAATCCATAAAATATCCTACACTCCCTTTTAGAAATTAGTCTGATGCAAAACAAATCCAATATCAAAGGTTATTCAATCTAAACCAATCATTGTAATTGCGAGCAGTTGCGATTTAATTTTGCCAAACAGATTTGAGCCTCCAGCTTGGACTGTTAAAGTTGACATTTAAATAACTTCGGTTTGCTTTGCCATTAGCATTCGTAATGAATTAGCTCTTTTGTGAGTTTACACCTCACAGTAAAACGGTGAACAGCAACACAAATAGTTAGTATAAAAATTATGGATATTGTTATTAAGAGACTACAGTGTGAATTATGTTTGACAACCTCCGTGGCTGAGAGGTTTGTACGCCGGTTTTCATGTTGTCGCCGACTCGAGAGGTCCCGGCTTCGAATCCCGGTGGGGGTAGATGTTTGTGTGATGAATACGAGCATTTGTACTCCAGTCATGGATGTTTAATATGTATTTATATATATAAATATACTTATATATGTACAGTATATATGTATTCTATCCGTTACCCTAGTATCCCATAATACAAGCCTTATAAGTGGTTTCTTTGGTGCTAGGCTAATTGGTGTGATTGTTGGAAATATTTATATTTATTATGTTTATGAAACTAAACTATGACATCACTCGAAGTGACGTTAAGGGAGGGAAATTTATACTTTAGTAAGTATATAATTTAATATGTGAGGGAAGAGTGAGATAAAACAGAAGTTTATATCGTGTTATTCTTGTCCATAGAGAAAGACTGTGGACCAGTCGGTCGTGAGCACAGAACACAGGAAGTGGTTAGAAGGGCCTTGTGGACGGGGCAGGCGCGCCACAGTTATGTGTGAGCAAATGCTCATAACTTGACAAGTTTTGGTCAAGTTATCAAGGTTCAGATTGCGTCGTTGCTCTCGGGTGTGAGCGCTGATTGGTTTAACTGTTTGTTGTCGCGTTATTGATTGGCTATTAGCTATGAGGTGGAAGTGTAGTGGGGACGAGATAGCAACATCGGTTCCCGTACTAACGGTCTTTGATCACTCTTTCTGTGTTCTGGGTTGTGGGGACAATATTTTATGTTGAAGCAGTTTTCCAACCGCCGCCGTAGAATCCGCCCTCTTTAGCCCTAACTGTCCTGTCGCCTAGCTAGCTGCCTCGCTAGATTGTGACAGTAAATTTTTGCCTAGTCCCCAACCGCCATACCGGACGAAAAGAAACTTCGTTCCAACACACGTTTAATTGTTGTGCCGCAGTGAAAATATTTGCAATAAAGTTGACTATGCCAACATTGTTGTCATCAATTACCGGAACCCCGTTCTCGAAATAGAAAATGTATACCCACTGACGGCTGTTGCTAATAATAGTTTGTCCGAGCACATTGTTTGAAATAGAACCTGGACAACGGATTTCAGTAAAGGGTTCCATGGGTTCCTTGTTTAAGGAACCCTAAAAATAGTGGCATATAGCTATTATAGTAAACGCAATTGCTAGATACTTTTGCCATATGATGGATGAAATCTATTTCCTCTTATAGATACCTACTTGCAACAGTCCGACGTGTTTTAAGGGTTCCGTACATCAAAAGGAATAAAGCCTATAAGGGGTGCTTGTAGGACCACTTTGTTGTTTATCTGTCCGTCTGTCTGCGTGTCAGAATCCTTTATTGAGGCTGTGGAAAACTCAAACATTAATATACGAGTTCAGAAAAAACTTAAAATAGAGATACGCCCCGTTTTTGTTGCAAACCTACTAATTTGTACGGAACCCTCGCCCAGAGTCCGATTCACGCTTGTCCAGGGTTTTTACTTCATAATTGCTCATCATTTCTCTTAAAACTCTAGACAGTTTGAAATTGAAATACATTCAAAGCGGTATGAAAAGCGATTTTCTCAAAGCGGCGCTTAACGCAGATTGGTACAGTTCAATGAGCCCCAATCAGCGAAATGAATGGACAAATCAGAACACGGAAAGCGATATTGAGACAAGTAAATTCGTGTTCTCAATACACTATCTGCATTTCAATTGGTCATTCGGTGAAGCTTGGAAAAATCGAAATATAATAATAGTGCAGCTCCCGGGGCGTAAAAACATGAAAACCTCGAACTTCAGCTACAGTGAATTAATTTTAAAAATTCCAAATGGAATGTGTAGCTACTTACATATACATAACTAGCGGCCCGCCCTCGCTTCGCTTCGGTGTAGAGCTGAAGTGTAGACTACAGTTTTTGTTCTCAGGCTTGTAATAAACACAATGACATTCATCTATGATTCTTCTTATACCTGCATGCAAAGTCTCAGCCCGATCGGTTTAAAATTGACAAAGTTTCATACAAACTTTCATCCCCTATTTTATCCCCTTGGGGGTAGAATTGATCAAAATCCTTTATTAGCGGATGCCTACGTCATAACATCTACCTGCATGCCAAATTTCAGCCCGATCCGTCCAGTGGTTTGGGCTGTGCGTTGATAGATCACTATGTCAGGCAATCACCTTTGATAACAATTAAAAAGTAATCTTGTTTCTTTTTAATGAGTGTGCCTTGCGATAGTGTCATTCAACTTGATCAAAACTTGGTTCTGATTGCGTCGTAGCTCTCGGGTGTGTGAGCGTTGATTGGTTCAATTGTTTGATGTCGCGTCGTTTAATTGGCTATTATCTATTAGACGGTAGTGTAGTGGGGTTGAGCCCGCGACATCGGTTCCCGTACAAACGGTTTATGATCACCCTTCTGACTTCTTCCTGTGTTCTGTGGTTGCGAACTATCGTGCTGCATGACGATAATGGCCAGCTTGATTGGCGGTTTTTAGACACTCATCAAAGAGTTTTAATAATGGCATATAGGCAAAGGTTAGCGGGAAGAATAGCGTGTGCAGGTGAAGGAGCGTACAACAATCAGTAACTTAGTTATCAAACAGAAACTTGTTAATTTTCCAAAGAAAATTAAAGGATCGGCGTCGATGCCTAAGGCTACTGAATTATTATTAATATTGTCAATTAGTGAATTGCCCTGCGACTCACCCTCAAATGCTCCAAGATGCTGGTCTTCAACACATTTTGCCTCCACATCGTGAGTCTTCTCAGCGATTCATATATCATCTCTGGTGTTATCTGTTAACGATTTTATTTCGTTTTACATTGGGAATCAAAAGAATGTTATATTTCAACAATTTAGGACCCTCTGCAACGATATTAAATACCCTAGATGCACCAACACGAACAAAATCGTGCCCGATACATGTCGAAAAGGTATATTGGACGCTTTAATTACTCGAAAAACATAAGATTTCATGATATATTGATATATAGCTCAAATTTTAATAAATAGCTCAAAATTATACAATGATCAAAAACAAAAATTTTCGGATTCGAGTTTTTTTCATTATTAATTTCCAGTTTCTGAGAACATTTACCATAGTAGTGTATATTTTTTTTATTACCATCAGAAAGAAGAGATTTAAACATACAAAAAACACATCAACTTTTTAAAAAAAGCAGATATTTTAACGTGAGAATTTTCGATTGAAAATTAGGGTGCTTTTTCGATATTAAGTCAAAATAAGGTGAAAAAATGAATATTTTAAATCGAAAAAATTACTGTATGTTTGGAACATACAAAGGTAAGTTTTCACTAAATTTCATTAAAAACATATTTTTTTTTGCAAAAAAATAAAAAACCAAAAACTCGTTTATTCGAATTTTTCACATAAATTTTGAGGTTATGTGAAATAAGTGTCGATACAAAAGTTCCAGATCTTTTTATTACCTACAACTTTGCCATTTAACTTTTTTTCATAGGACTTGCAGTTTTACCGGAAATCGAGATTAACCTTTTTTACCCCTAAAAACTCACCCCCTCCCCCTTCCCGACCTCAGATCGCCCGTAATTTATATTTCCTTTCATTTTTGTTATATTCCCTACCTTTTCCAATGGGTTTCGTCCTACTATATTTTTTTTTTCACTTTTTACCATTTTTAAAATTATCGACCCTGGTCTATCATGCTCTTAAGAAGACTCGAAAAACGTCGTATTAAAATAAATGAGATTGAAATTGATATCATTATGCTCGGCTTGGATAAACATCGTCTGGGGTCGTATTACATTACGTCGTATACACATTATTATGGCTCGTTTCAAACGATAAGTGGGTAAGGGACCAATCCTATTTGCTGAGGCATCAATTGGTATTTTTCCCTGTTATCTCTTACGCGCGACGGGTGAAATTTTGTGTGCACAAAATTATTTTAGCGGGAGGAATTGATGATATTATGTTGAAGATCGTCCAGATTATTGTTGCGATATTTTAATAAATCCTTGCTTTGAGTGTTCCCCAGTCGCTAGTCAAGGCATTCTTTTAAAATTATAACAGAATAATATTTTTTTACGTCTGTGAATATGTATAAATAAATTGTTCCATTTTAGGTAAATATAGCAATGGCCTTAATCAGGAGGGTACAGTAGTTTTTTTATTAGAAATTTGAAGATAGCAAAAAAATATTATGGTTATAACGTAACCTAACCTAACCTATCGTGTAATACCGTGCCTAGACCCGGCAAATAATCGTCTCGTTAACAAGAACTCTTAGCCGTTTTCGACACTTCGCTTCTGTGAAGACTACAGTTAAAAATTATCAAATTGGAGGTCAAAATCGTATAAAAAGTCGTTCGTGAATTCTTGAGCTTACAACAGACAAACGCGTAGGGGGACTGTTTTATAATATTTACTGATTATAAGCGCTTACCGCCGAGAGGTTGTTTGTTTTAGTAACCTTTTGGAAAGGGTGAAAATACTAAACCAAGTTATAATACGGTGTACATTGATTTATAATGGACAATAATTTTGAATTAAAGTGAAACTTTCCGAAGACTATACCAAAAAAACCTCAATCTTCGCAGAAACATACATTCTCTATTTACCTCACAGTAAGAACTGGGTTCTAATGGAACCTCATCCGAGTCAGCGTTGGTTTTGATGAATAGAGGTGAGAACATACAACACCGGGATCCTACCTGAACCTGCTTTGAACCTAGAAAGATAAACATTTCAATAATAAATGGTCATAAGTCACTTAGGAATATCAATGCAGGAGTGTGGAGCTCCACCGTCCGGGCCAAGACACTATAGTGTGAAAGGGGTCACCATCCTCAGCACTGGGGGGCCGACTACGGAGGAGGAAGTCTCTTAAAGAGCTCGGGAAAGGAAGAGCTCGCTCGATCGATCGCGAAGTTGAGCAACTTTCGCAATAGTCGGTCATTGGACGGGTGACCAAAAACTTATTATCTCGAGCTCGTCCGTGCTTCAGAAGACACGTCAAGGTCCCGGCTAACGACTGCTGGTGTAGCAGTCGTTAGCGCCCACAATCCGCACTGGGCCCGCGTGGTGGGTTACGTCACAGCCCAATCTCTCTAATCCATTCATAGCGACCTAACATTAATAGGTCGATGTGATGATGCAGTTATAAAAGCGATGAAAATAGATTTATGGACAGAAATTTCATGGTCGAATCGAGATTTTACGCTCCAAAGAAGCATCTTGAGGCTCAGGCAGGAGTTTTTGCCAGCTTCGTAACGTATGGACCCGTCAAAATTTCTATGAAAATTAAGCAGCGCCCCGCTATCGAACGCTACAAGCTAGCTTTTTCCAAAAAAAATAACGTTTACGATACGTTAAGGGGCAGTAAAAAATACTCGTGCTCGGGTCTCTGTTTGGAAAAGTAATTTCCCTACCCAGCGAAATACTATTTTGAGATAAAATGTATGAAGTATTTGCTCTATAATAATGATTTCATTGTAACGATCTACTTAGTTTACAAAATTAAATTTTCAGCATTCTCAGTATTTACCCTTTAGTAATTTAATTCCATGCATCGTATCTAACCTTTTTCAATTTTAACGAGAACCGGATTCGGAAAATTTCTCTGCTTGTTGATTTTGATTTTCCTCTTCCTATATTTTCTTCTAGCTCTTCGCAACTCGTACCTGACGAAGACCACCTCAAACTCAAGTACCGTAAAACCAAACAAAAAATTCAGAAAATAATCAATTTATTCAATAAACAAAACCTTAAAAGACAATACAAAATTTGTAATTTATAATTCAAAATACGTTAGGCAATTTAGGAGAATTTCACCTTCTGCGACAGCATCGGTGGCCGCAGAACTTGCAACCCAGTGATCTGGACTCACTCTGTGAAGACAACCTGGTGAATATTGTCGAAACCGACAGGTTTCGTTGTTTGCGAGGTTTCCGTTTCGAAGCTCTTCTCAATACTTGTCGTCTGGTTGGAGATCTTCGTCTCTTGTCCACTCTCCCTGGCCTACGACTTCTTTTCTTTTTCTCTGGTGGTTTTGCTTCCCTCTTGCCAAGTGGTGGCTTGGGTACTTCTGGCCTTGCCTCAGTTATTTCTACTCTACTTCTAGCACAATACGAGCCAGACGTAAAAGAGTCTTCGCTGTTGGAAGCGTGCTCTCTTCTCTCCTCATCCTTCCGTCTCTCAGTATAAATCTCTTCTGTGGATGCTACCCTTTGGCTTTCTTTCTTGCTAGCGGACGGCTGGTTGTCGGATTCATCTTCCATCGCCAGTTTTTTCCAGAAGTAACTGATAATTTTGTAATATTTACTGTGTAAACTGTAAAATAAAATTCAAAACTTTTAAATTGGCTGCTGTCAAGTCAAACATTTCAAAACTCATTTTCATTTGTTTGAGGTTTATTTTCTGTTTTTCTGTCTATGAGGTTTTGACATTTTATTGTGCCAGTTTATATCTAGACACGAAGTCAAGTGTTAATGTAAATACTATGTTTATGATTAATGCCGATCTATTGCCAGTCAAGTAAGTTATTACCTAACGTTTACCTTACCTTACCTTAATTTGCTACTGCTGTCTGGCCTGGGGTGGAGCTAATAAAACAAGCATGACCCCAGTCGAACGATCTCAGCGCGCTGTATTAAAAGTAATGTTTCACAAACCATTTAGGTATCCCACCGATGTTCTTTATAAAGAGTGCAGCTTGTTGAGGGTTCGTCAGATCTTTATTGTAAAATCGATACTTGCTATGCATGGAAAAGTGTCTGCATCACCAGAGTATAAAACTCTTCGCCTTAGAAGCAAATTTCGGATTCCAATGCCTATCACACATACGTCATTCATCCAACGCAATTCCACATTTCTTCTTCCTTTCATTTACAACAAGATTTGTCGCTTCTTTGCTCATCTTCACCTTCAGCCTATAATTTGTGTCAAAAGGATGGTTTCCTCTTGGCCCATGGATCTGTCATATCAGGAAACAGAGGACATAATCAGGCCTGTAAGTTGACTACTTACTTAAATATGGGGGAGTTGAAAATTATCACAGGCACACACCCATGCGCGCATACGCATACACTCACACACACACATCCACACTCGAACACACACATCCACACTCGCACACACACAGATTCACACTCACATATACACACATAGAGTAATTATAATTCGAGGATTTTTTATTAAATATATATGTAACTTGTAAAAATTTTCAGTAAAAATTTTTAAAGTTACTTTAATAATTTTACTATTGTCATATTTTTTGTCTTAATGTTACTCAAACATTTAAGTATTACCGTTACCTCCTCACTCACAATGTGCACCTCCCGAGTTTTGTCAACATATTGTAATGCGAATCATTCAGAAAAACTGAAATTTTAGGTCTTTGCGTTACGAGCTCAGCTCAGTGCAAAAACCACTATTTAATTGTAAGCTAAGTTAAAATTTTGTATTGGTGAATAAATATATTTTTCTTTTGTTTTTTGCTAACGTTAACTATCAGTTAAATAATTTCCTGAAGCCGATTACCATTGTGGGTTTCATAGTATAAAATTAACTGCAAAAATACAAACTCTTCTCTAATAAAACTTAAAATCCATATTTGAAACTAAAAAATATTTTGTATTCAGAGTAGTGTAGGTAGAGTGAATTTGTGGTGTACAAGTCCAGGGTCAATACTTGGTCAGTCTCGATTTTAATTATTAAATTTTTGTCGTATTGAGTTGCGGAACGATACGAAGCGTGTTCATTCGCGAACTGTCCGTATGACATTCAGAATGGTTGATCGCGGTTTGGCCGCATTCGCGATCGCAGATATTGCCTAACAATAGGCCTGTCTTGATATTCAAAAAACTTTTTCATCATCTAAACGTGGTTTAATTTTAACAGGTGTTGGTGTGGCCTCAGTAGAACAGCTCACGGGTCCAGCGTCGTAAACGCGGCGGCCGGCGAGGCGTGGGTCCCGGCGCGGCACACACAGGCGGCGCCAACAGACGCGTATGGCACAGTCGAGTTTCAAGGTGGACCACATCCGACGAAGGCGCAGGTAAATAGTGCAGCTATTTTTCAGCACTGTCGGAAATTGTGAGATGGGAAAATCAGTACCTTAATACCTATTACCTTGAGGCAATGTTGTTCTCGTATGCCTTTGGCCTAGTGATGTTATGAACACAAACCTTTCGTGGTTGGTGGCGGAGATTTGTAGATGTGTCACCGATATCGGTAAGATAGCGGCCACTGGGGCAGACGCTCCTACCTGAGTCCTGTAAAGGACCTTTTCGTCGTCCCCCTAATGCCAAAATAAATAAGGCTCTCCTCTATATTAGGGTGGCACGAGATGCGCTGGTCTACGCCTGCTCCTTCTCTTTCTTGCCAGGGCTTGTTCCTCGCGGGCTCTCTCCGTAGCCTCCTAATTTGCCCCTACAAATCCACATCGCGGTATCATAGTTATTAACCAGAATCGGTAAAATTTTTTTGTTAAGTGGACATTTTAATAGCTTAGTTCTGAAAATCAGAATGTTATGATGTATTCGAGGAACAGGCGCGGAAATGCGTGAACGGCGCGAAAACTATCTTCATACCTCCGGCCGGCTCCACACTAGTGCCGTGAAATTATTGTGTTTTACACATTTGTGAGTGAAACCTACTGCGAAGTGGACATGGAAGTTGCTGCTTGTGCACCCTTTGTTGTGGGAGTTTGTGCCTGTTCACCGATCGGTGTCGGTATTTTATCCCACGACAAAGGGTACACAAGTAGCAACTTCCACGACCATTTCGCAGTAGGTTACGTGACCCGTGAATACAAAGAGACACCATTACTGCCGTGAATTCACGACGCGAATTAACGCCACAAGTGTGGAGCCGGCATAAACATTTCTGCCATGATATCAGCGAGCAAATTCACGGCACTGAATAGTGTATCCGGCATGAAATGTTGTTGCTGTGCTAACCTCTTTTCATGTTTATGGCAAAGATTTGAATTTTCTTTGATATCATTACTATGGAGACTATGACATGAAAATTTGTGACATTGATTAAAGGATTATTATCAAGACGAATTCAGTTTATGAATTTATAGATTATTTTTATAAACTACTTGAAATAGTTGTTTTGCCATATTTTGTCACTTTTTAAACGTCTCAGCTTCCATGCTTTTGTTCTTCGTAGTAAATAAATAAAGTAAAAAAGGCACATGTAAAAGGAAAGAATATTTATGCCGTGAGCTTATGTAAAGCACACGCCAATAAATCGTGTCGAGCGCGACACCTTCTCCGTACAGGTAGGCCGTAGCGTCCACCATTAATATTGAAGTCCACACCGATGACATTTTAACGACCCTTCTGAGTTATGAAAGGACGAGAATTGCATCTTGAACTGCCTAGCTGTCGATCGGGAGGTACCTTTTGTTATCCCCAATCATTAACGTTTAAATAATGTCTCACGCAGTTTTAACGTGGTTAGTGCGTTCAGGTCATAACTTTCGCGATGGTCGGTTTAGCGTTTTCGGTCTGCGATTGAGGAAGTTAAGGTACTTTCTTAATGGCCGGTCTTAGGATGGGTGACCAAAATTAATCTGTGCTTCGAAAGTAAGGTTAAACTGTTGGTCCCAGCTGCATCCGCAGTCGTTAGTATTCACCAATTCGTACGGGCCAATACTTCATATTGCACAGGCCCAGTGCCATCCAATGACACCAGCCTGTCTAAATTTCCTTGTTCAATCTATATGGAAGACCTATGCCCGAGCAGTTGGGGCAATCAATAGTCTGATAATGATGATGATGAAAGAGGGTATATACATAGCTAGATTTTAAATCTTCAAGTATTAAAATATAATTTAAGTCTGAATCGCTTAATTCAATACATTTTTTATTAATAAACTACCTATTCTTTTATCTAATCCAACTATATCGCCTAATTGACAACAACTTTGAGGCCTGGCGAGAAGACATTAGAAAATTCAAAGTCATATATTGTTCTCCAAAAATTTCATTAATAATACATTGTCTTTTTATTAAATCAGTCATTTTTCTCTCTGTAGTATGTTCGTCTATCACACGACACTCGGCCCGAGCTGATAGTCCAGCTGCTGACCCGCGAGTGGCAGCTGGACCGGCCGAAGCTGCTGATCACCATCCAGGGGGGCAAGGCTAACTTCGACTTACAGCCGAAACTGAAGAAGGTGCTAAGGAAGGGACTCCTGAAAGCAGCGAAGACCACGGGCGCGTGGATCTTTACCGGTGGCACAAATACAGGTAACATTGTTTTTTTTTTAAAAGAGTTAGGGCACAGTGGATTTCCAGGGAGGGGGTGCTCCGCGGCACCATCGCGAGGGGGTAGGAACCCAGGCGTAATAAGCGGCGACTCATAACTGGATCCCGCAGCTACGCCTGGAGGGCGAGGGGTAGATCGGGGAGTTGGTTTACCTGGTAGGTACGGGAGCTGGTCGGGTGGCTAGCCGCTCGGGCTGCGGTCCGTGAGACTAGTCAGGTGACGCTGTGACCGGAAAAGCCCAGGATCGGCTAAAGCGGGTGCGGACCGGGCTGCTGTTCGGAGGCGGGGTGGTTTGACGTATGCCACGCTTACGTGAGTGCACGATAGTATACCCGCACTGACTAGCGGCCCTCGGGCTGCTCGCCGCTTGCCGAATGCACCACGCAATTACCTGCGTCGCGAGAGTTTGTTCACAGCAAACTAACGCGGCGTTGGTCATTGTCGTGGATATAATGCATTTTTTCTCCTCGTCATCGAAAAAAAAACGCACAGTGGATTTCCCGCTCGAATTAGAATACCTGCCCGGGGAAGCAACCTCCACCTTAAAGAAGACCACAGTAAAATAACACTACCTTTTGATGGTGTTGTGTTTCTGCTGGTGAGCAGGGTTCCAGGGCGCCGTCGGGTAGGGGATTGGGTTCAGGCTGGCAAGGTGAGGATGGCTGGAGATTCACATCTTCTCCCGCAATATATATCATCGCAAGTGGTCTCCACTTACACTTAACAATAGGCCTTGTGTGGTAATTTGTTTGCGCCTTGTATAAAATAATATGCTTATCCATCAATTACTTACATCAATCATTTTGTCTCAAGAGTAAGACAAAATGAGACATGATAATTAAAAAAGAAGAGCAAATCAAGAAATAATAATAATAATAATAATAATAATAATAATAATAAAAAAAAAAAAAAAAAAAAAAAAACGTCAACGTGACAACACCTTCTTTCCAATTTCTCTTATTTATTATTATTTTATTTGGAATCAAAAATATGTATTACAATATTTATAATACCATAGTTATTTGAACTGAATCTATGACAAAACCAAAAATTAAATAGAAATAATAAAAAAGAAAATTCTTCACAAACAAAAAATGATTACTCCGATGACATGTCAAAGTGTCAAAACAAATAATAATGAATAAAAACAACAGAGAATGGAAATGAATTAACAATGTTGACGAGGAGCAAAGCACGTTTGAGATCACCGGACTCGTCACGTCGCTCCGCCTCGCAGTTATCGGCAACAGTCACAGTACCGAGTACCCTCCGGCTGACACCTGCAGTTGCGTCGAGCGATAGTGACGAGTACTTCTCTCCTCCGGCGACGCCACCACCAGTTCGTCGAAGAAGAGGCCGGCCACCGAAGGGTTTGGGGCTTGTGGGGCAATCGGCTCCGGTCAGGGCCCCCGCTCCCGGTGGAGTGCACCGCATGCGATGGACAACTTCCATAAACGAAAGTGTCATGCGTGCATATTTTGAGGCAACAGAGGCAGGAACCAATCTTACTGCGTACCGTGCTCGGATGCTTTCTCTGTTTCAGGCTCTTGAACCAACCATCAACGTTTCGGCTCAACGATTATCGGATCAGGTGCGGGCCATTCAACGGGGTCACTTATTGGATGACTCTACACTTGATCGGCTCCGTACAGAGGTACAAAGTAATCACATCATTTCTATTGCATCACAGGCGGCAAATCTATCTCCGTCCATAACAACATTACAAGCTGACGTTGCTGATGGTGATGATAGGGATGATGTGATTACTACTGTAAGTTCCCAACACAATGATGTATTGAGGAGTACTTTCGAGGATGTAGTTCGGGAATTTCGATCCACTCCGTTACATCTTAGACCTCGGCTTCCGCGTTTCCCTATGCACAAAAGAAATAGGGCGCTGATGTGTGCTTTAGATTCGTTATTATCAAATTATATTGATAGTAGCGAAGACCTCACTGATACTCATTCGATCTTGTACTGTGCGGCTATTACGGCTTGTCGTGTGGCGCATGTCAAATTCCCAAATACTGACATAGCAACACACCCTAGAGAGGCTGTACCAGCCTGGCAGTGCAGGATTGAGAGCCGCATTAGCGAGGCTAGGGTACTCATCGGTAAGCTCAGCTGTTTCAGGGAGGGCAACACCCGCCCTAGGGTCATGCGCTTTGTGAGGCGTGCATTCTCGGGAACTGGTATTAGTCCCGAGAATTATAGTTCACATGTAACAGAGCGCATTGACTTTCTGAAACAGAAAATTTGTGCATGGGCTAATCGCATTCGGAGGTATAAGTTACGAGTGAGTCGTTTTACTCAGAACCGCATGTTCGAAAGGGATCAACGTTGTGTTTATCGATCCTGGGAGCGTTCGAATCGGAGTGATATTGATATGCATCGACCGGATGATCAGGCCATGATTTCTTTCTGGCGCAACATCTGGTCCGTGCCTGTCACTCATTCTGATGGCGCGTGGATGACGGATGTAGAGCGATCGTGTGAGCTTTTACCTGAAATGAATGATGTAACCATTGACTACGAAGACGTAGTTTGTGCAGTTCGTTCGTTACCCAACTGGAAATCGCCAGGCCCGGACGGACTGCACAATTTCTGGTTTAAATGGTTACCAAGCTCACACGTTTGCTTAGCATCTCAATTCCAGCGCGCTTTATCATCTCGGTCGCTTCCAGAATTTATGACAACAGGCATAACTCATCTGCTCCATAAATCTGGTAGTACTGCGGACCCAAAAAATTATAGACCAATCACCTGTCTGCCAACAATTTATAAAATTCTTACATCTATTTTGAGATCTAAGATTAGTAAACATATTGATCAAAATTCTATCATGTTCGCCTCTCAAAATGGATGTAGGAATGGGGCCCGTGGTACTAAGGAGCTACTCCTCATTGACATGGCTATTAATCAACAGGTCCGCCGTAACCGAAAGACTCTGTCGACTTCCTGGATAGATTACAAGAAAGCGTATGATTCCGTACCGCATTCATGGCTCATGAGGGTGCTGGAGCTGTATAAAATAAATGCAACTCTACGCACTTTCTTGATGTCATGTATGCGACAGTGGAGAACGGTCCTATTCTATCCAGAATCTCGACGGACTCTGGGTAACGGCGATCCTATAAAAATAGAGCGAGGCATCTTCCAGGGCGACGGTCTGAGTCCATTGTGGTTTTGCCTGGCCTTGAACCCTCTGAGTACACTACTCGAGAGTTCAGGTTTAGGCTATCGTTTACGGAGAAATGGTCAAGTAATATCACACCTGCTTTACATGGATGACCTGAAACTTTTTGCCCACAGCAGTTCTCATTTGACAGCCTTACTGAAGGTTACTGAAGATTTCAGTAATGCTATCAGAATGGAATTTGGTGTGGACAAATGTGCAATCATGCATGTAAAGCGTGGTCAGGTAGTGGAATCCGCGGGTATACAACTCTCGGATTCAGTTCACCTTAGATCTCTCTCCGTAAACGAAACCTATAAATATTTAGGTATGTCACAGGCATTAGGCATCAACGATGCTGACATGAAACAGTCATTACGTGAGCGTTTCTTGGGGCGCCTGTCAAAAGTTCTTAAAAGTCTTTTGTCGGGCGGAAACAAGGTTCGTGCATATAATGGCTGGGTAATGCCGCTATTGATGTATTCCTTTGGCATACTTAAATGGACTCAAACTGAACTTGATGCCTTGGACAGAACAGTTCGTACATTGTTAACAGCACACCGTATGCATCACCCACGCTCCTCGACTATGAGATTGTATATCCCGCGGAAGTGTGGTGGTCGTGGCTTCCTAAATGCCAAGACATTACATAACCGCGAGTTAAACAATCTTAGGGAGTATTTTCTTAACGTCGATATGGGGATTCATAGAGATGTAGTTGCTGTTGACAATGGACTCACTCCTCTATTTTTTGCAAAAGAAAACTGGCGCAGACCTGTAGTACTTAGTACTTTGGATCGCAGCATTGTATGGCAAAGCAAGGAGTTGCATGGCAGATTCTACCGGGCTCTCCATGGGCCTGACGTAGATTTATTAGCATCAGTATCCTGGCTACGTTACGGTGACCTTTTTGGTGAAACCGAAGGTTTTATCTGTGCAATTATGGATGAGGTTGTGATGACGAAGAACTACCGGAGGTTTATACTGAAGGATGGCACATTGGATGTTTGCCGTGCGTGCCATCGCCCAGGTGAATCCCTTAGGCATATAATCTCCGGTTGTTCTCGTCTCGCAAATGGCGAGTATTTGCACAGACATAACCAAGTGGCCAGGATAATACACCAACAACTTGCTTTGAAATACAATCTTTTAGCATCTGAGGTTCCTTACTACAGGTATGCTCCAGAACAGGTTCTTGAAAATAGCCATGCCACATTATATTGGGATCGATCTATCATTACAGACAGGACTATTGTGGCTAATAAGCCCGATATTGTATTGATAGATCGACACGAACGCCGTGCAGTAGTTGTTGATATCGCTGTCCCCCATGACGACAACCTTGTAAAAGCTGAAAAAGACAAAGAAAACAAATATCTTGATTTAGCTCACGAGATTGTTGACATGTGGGACATCGATTCAGCAATTGTTGTACCGATAATCATATCCGCCCATGGTTTGATAGCCAAGAGCCTCGATAAACACCTTAAGAGGCTCGCGTTAGGAGGTTGGGTCAAGAGTCTGATGCAGAAGGCAGTACTTCTGGACACGGCCCGTATAGTGAGGAGGTTCCTGTCTCTGGATCCTTAACCACCGGTAGCAGGGACCCTGATCTTGCTGCCGATGGGGAACTACATTTTTGTATTTTTAAATGTTATTTTTTTAATGTTATACACTGTTAAAAATTAATATTTAGAAATATAATTTTGTATGTATATTTAATGAAATAAAGGAATAATAATAATAATTTAATTTATTTGCCAAAATACAGTTCACAAGTTGATACATATTAAGTAAGTACGTGTA